TTTTGGTTCAAAATCATACCCTTGGAACTGTTATTCTATATTTGGAGGTCAGCAGGAACCATTCGTAAGTATTAGAGCCAGGGACTTCCAAACAGCTCTGTGAAGGTATTAGTGGCAATTAGGGAACATGGTCTCCGCACGCCGCCTTTTCCCTTCTTCCCTCCCACCTCCCCATATGGTAAAGTAGGATACTAACTGTTTAGAGGAGGGCTTTTTAACCTAGACATCATGGAGATTTAGTCCATGGAAAGGCTTCAGGGAGCTGCTATATATGTGTATGTAGCATTTCTCTGGTTAGTCAGTGGCCCTTATCATATTCCTAAATAAGGACACGACGAAAGAGGTTAAGAATCACCAGAGCAGATTAAGAAATGGAAACAACAGAGCTGCATGCTGTAAATCAGCCATTGCTGGGGGCTGGAAATCGGGATAGCGGAGGCAGTAGCAGAAGGAGCAATGTCTAGGACTTGCGGCCTTGCACTCTGTTCAGATGCAGAAAAACTAAAAAGATGCTCAAGATATAGAATACTCCAATAAAATTAAATGAGAAGGGAAAAATTATAATAAAAAGTTTACATACAGATTCTTAAAAAAATGGATACCAAGGGGAAAGAAGTCTAAGTTTTACAACCAGACTTTTGCTAACAAAGCAGCTACAGTAGGGCCAAGGTGAGGGAGCAGGCAGCAGTCAGGGTTCACGGGAAAAACCAGCTCTCACTGACAAGACAGCCCAGATGGGTTGTCACTGAGGCCCAAGAAGTCATATTGTAGCAAACAAAATCCTTCTAAGAAATAAATGGAAAGAAATAAAAGTAGATTAGAGACAGGAGAAAGCAGGAGGAGGCACTGTGAAGGGACCCAGGACCGTCCTGTGGCAGCAATCACAGGAATTTCCAGCGGAGCCCCGCAGAAGCGGGAGGCTACACCAAATCAGAGCTGGCTAAGTGGATGCCCTTCCCGGAGGCAGCTGGAGCCTAAATGAATCTTAACAAATTTCTGTTTCTGAAGCTCCTCTGATTTCTATTCAAACTCAGTCTTCAAAACCCTTATTCAAGTGATTTCATTCCATTATTTTCAGGGTTTCTAAGACGAAAAAGAGCATCCTGGGGTGCCTGTCTGAAGAGAACATCAGTTTTACATGGCAAAGAGTGCAGCCTCCCTCTTCCCTCTCCAGGTTACCCAAGTCCTGAGAAAACCCGGGAAAGAAAGAGTTTCTGCAGGAAGAAACTGACCTGCTTATGGACTCACAGGTCATGTGAGTTTTCCTAGGGATGGATACATTCTGGCCATCCCTCTGCTAGCAAATATTCAGCAAAGGTCATGAGAAGATCTGGTCCCTTAACCGTAAACAGCTAAACAACAGGGCCAGGGTGAGGCTTTTAGAGTATCCAGTAAAACAAATCCACCCATTCAAGAATGTGTTTAACAGAGCTTGCTGTGTGGGAGGCATGGGTGTCTGTGTTAGGTGGCACCAGAAAATATAAAAGGAATGTCAGGTCCCTTGAGGAATTCCCACTCACATTTGGGAAGCAGAGCACTGCTGGGAGCAGTCATGTAACGTAATTGTTCAACAGAGGAACCACTGTGTGACCCCAAACTACAAACAGACCAGTTAGAGGGAGGGTGCTCAGAACAAGAGTTCCTATAGCAACAATCTTTCATAGCTTCAAAATGCCTGTGATCAGCAAGCACACTCACACGTTGCCTCATTTTCTCCTCAAAACAACTCTGTGGGATAGACATCAGCCTCCTTTTACAAATAAAATTATATTCAGAGAGACGTCAGGAGATTGAGACCACCCTGGCCAACATGGTGAAACTCCGTCTCTATTAAAAATACAAAAATTAGCTGGGTGTGGTGGTGCACACCTATAGTCCCAGGTACTCAGCAGGCTGAGGCAGGAGAATCGCTTGAACCCAGGAGGCAGAGGTTGCAGCGAGCCGAGATTGTGCCACTGTACTCTAGCCTGGTGACAGAGCAAGACTCCATCTCAAAACACACACACACACACACACACACACACACACACACACACACACGTAAATGGTGGGACTGGAAACTGAACCTACTGACTCTGGATCCCAGTACTCTTTCTGTGCCTCTGCCCGGAGTACATGTTTGCTCCTTGGTTGATAATCAGACATTGGCAAGAGACTCAATGACTTATGCAGAGATAAACAGGAAGTTTGGGTAAGACCCCAATTTAACCCCAGGCCTCATGACAGATAATCTGATGTGATTCCCAGAATACCTTTCATTTGGCATCTATCAAGGTCCATGCTTGAGCTTCACCTTGGTACCAAGAACAGGAAATGCTAACATGATTACCCAGAGAAGCTTCTCAAACAGGTGATGCAACTGCGTAAGAAGGGCATGAGGGATGTAAAAGGGCAATAAGAGGGTCATCAGAAGGGCTGGTGATGGTCAGTACCATCAGCATGGGACACACTATCCTGAAAACCCAGAGAAAGGTGGTGTCTGTCTGGGTTTGTTCGGGCTTGTCCTTATAGCTGAGGCTACTAGATGTCTCCTTCAGGGGTTCTGCAGGCAATGGCAATGACTAAAGCTTCACATAAAGAAAAGCAGCAATCTAAATCTCTCTCCCATATTTTTCCCCGAGTTGGCATCAGGGGTCTGGGTAGATCATAAGGGATTTCTATACACTGATCTGCTGGAGAGCCTCACCTACTTAACCGGATCAGTCTAGAGGAAAATAGCAGAGCCTTGGATTCCAGCCTGGACTTAATGACTTATTCACATGTCCCTCTCCTCCATTAAATTGTACGGACCATACTGAATCTTTTTTTTTTTCTGGAGTGCAATGGTGCAATCTCGGCTCACTATAACCTCTGCCTCCTGGGTTCAAGCGATTCTCCTGCCTTAGCCTCCTGAGTAGCTGGGATTTCAGGCACCTGTTATCATGCTTGGCTAATTTTTGTATTTTTGTAGAGATGGGGTTTCACCATGTTGGCCAGACTAGTCTTGAGCTCCTGACCTTAAGTGATCCACCTGCCTTGGCCTCCCAAAGTGCTGGGATTACGGGCATGAGCCACTGTGCCCAGCCTGAGTCTTATTCAAAATAACAGAAGCATTTAATCACTGTGTTGAATTCAATTGAACAAACACACCTGGCTCTGCCTCCGTGTGACTTTAGGTGAGCTCTTGCATGTCTCCAAACCTGAGCGCCTTCATTTTTCAAATAGGAAAGAAAACGCCGCCCCCACTGACCTCATACCACTGTCATCTGTCACGAGGACTAAATATGATCGCATACGCATGAGCAGTACTCAGAGTTTCTAGTCCCATGTAAACACAAGGTCGAGTCTGCCCACTGATGGACTCTCTTTGCAGGTAGCCCCGTGCTGGGCGTTTTGTACATTAAGAAATTTCCTCTGCATCATCTGTCTGTCAAGATTTTCACACACAGACCCTTAATAAGTATTTTCTGTACCTAGCTGATTTGACAGGCTGACAAGTACCAGCAAGATCAGAAAAGGAACGTTCTTCCTGAGACTGCAAGAGACGAAGGTGTTCTTCCATAAGTCTGGGTAAACATGTCAGACACGATAAAAAGAAGAGGAATAGCTGAGTGCCTTCAGGAAGTCCTAGTGTCACTCTTACTGGCCATATGCTGACTTTATTTAGAGATCAAGTCAAGGCAGTATGGCTAGCATGCAGCAAAAATGAGCTCTAGGGACTCTTATTTTTAAGAATCCCTTAGGCATTTGCTATTTCTCTTAGGTTCATGTGGGTGGCTGTCAATAGCATGGGATCGGCAGGCCCCCAGACATGCCCTCAGCAACCCCGAAGCGGACCCATCCTTCCACTGTGACCCTCCCGCACACAGAGCATGGTGGCCCAGAGGAGACTGTCAAAGTGTCAAGTGCTTCCTACAAAACCCCACACGCCAGGTCTCCATATGACCCACCAGGGCCTGGGCCAGGTAAGCATGCAAGCTCTCCTTTGGAAGGGCCATGACTAGAGGAGGGGAAGCTCTCTGCTGAGGTGGGAAGGCCAGACAGCTCTGGGTTCCTCTGGGCAGAGACTCCCACAGAGCGTGGAACTAAGCGTCATGTTCAACAAGGCGTTCCACCCCTAAACCATTCTCCTCCCGTTTAGTTTCTTGACACTTATGGCCAGAACCATATTAACTGACCTCCTTCCCTTCCTCCCTCCGCCTTCCCACAATATGAATACTTCCTAAGTTCCAGATCCTTTGCACGGCACTGAGCTGGCTACAAAGAGAACCAGGAAGACCTCACCCTTTGCTGAGGCAGGGGTGGGGGTGGTCATTAGGTATGCCTACTGCAATGTGACACGTGCTCTGCTGGCAGGGTGGGCAATGAGCTGTAGGGGTGGGAGGAAAAAACAACCCTGGAGTTGGGCCTTAAAGGATCAGTACAGTTCTGCCAAGCCCAGGGGCTTGTGGTGGGGTGAGCATGGAAGGGAGAGGAAAGAGCTCTGTGAAGACTGAGGAAGGAGAAGTTCAGGGTCACAGTGCGTACTGGCTGGCGAGCAGCAGTGATCCCCGGGTCGTGGGGAGGGAGAGAGGAAGGGAGGGGAGAAGAGGCTGCAAAGGGAACTGCCACGCAGATGGTCAAGTGCTTGCCATGCAGGGAATATGGGCTATGCTCCGTGGGCAATGGGACGGAGGCACAAACAAGGCCGTGTTCAATGTGGAGCAGGCACAGGGGCAGTGGTGCTCTTAGGCTGGTCTTGCATCAGGTTGCAAGAGTGATTGTTACTATTAATTTTACAAGAAGGTTGATTTTACGTTGAAAATCAGTCATGGTGGGCATGTTTGCATCACAGAAATAGGCAAATGTCACAAAGCAGGTTTTTTCGAGAGTGGTTGTTAAACATTTACCAGCACACATTCGGCATACGTGTGTATGCATGCACACGTATGTAGAGTTGCTAAAAAATCACAAAGGGGCCCAGCAACCGCCAGGAAAAAAAGGATATCAGGCAGAACTCCACGTGATCTTGGCACACTCACCAGTCTCAGGTTCTTCATCGCTTGGGGAAACATGCCTTGATGTAACTGCAGTTTGCCAACTTTCATTACTTGAACACCTCTGACGGGATGGCTGCCTGGGAAAAAAATCCTGGAAGAAAACAAAGGCAAACAGTCAGCAGCTCTCACCTTTGCAGTTAGTGTTTCATCAGGAGACTATGGAGTAGGAGCAAACGCCAGCTGTGAACGTTAATGAGCTACTGAAAGGGAATTAGCTTTGCAATCCAGGAGAATGCAGTACTGAGGGGAATCATCGGTCTTCAGCTCCTCAGAATGCTTTTTGTGTTAGGGGAAAAAATGATAGGAATAGAAGGTCTCTCTCATAAACACGAGAAGAGAAACAAAAGTTTGGAGCTCCGCGTTGATATTTGGGAGGGGAGCGGCGGGGAGAGCAGTGCTAACTTTATCCTCCAAGCTCTTCCATGAAGCGTCAGCACCAGGACGGCCCTGGAGCACACGACTGCCTCTCAGTATGTAATTGCTGAATAAATAAAGTTTTCATGATCCCCAACTAAATACTACCACATCCCCCTTTCAACTGCAAAGCCCTTTGACCGAATCTCAGCTGTAGAGTTCGTCATGGTACGCCTTTCTTATAAGCACTTGTGTATGTATTTATCATCTACTGGATTACAACGCTTTTTATTCAGGCATCCATCTGTGTTCTCCATGGTGTCTGACATGTAGGAGGAGCTCAGTCCACACTGGACTCCTTTCACATACAACAGAATAGAATATGGTGTTACGGCGGACCAAAGAAAGAGGACTTGCACGCCCTGACTACGGCTCGTTCACTCTGTGAAGAGCTTCACTACTTCAATGCAACAGGAACTTACCATATTGGATTTAACCAAGTATGTGCAGTTTGGCCTCTTCTGGCCTCGATACGTTGTACCCTTTACTCTTAGAGAATATTGAGCTCCTGCTGCATATGCAGAATTGTCTCTGGGGGAAATGCCTATACACACATACACACACACACACACACACACACACACACACATATGCATACATATACATACATACATACCTCCCAACATACATATATACCCACACACACATACAACACACATAAAACCACAGTTTAAATGAGCTCTTCAGGCCAAGTGTAACGGCTCATGCCTGTAATCCCAGAACTTTGGAGGATGAGGCAGGTGGCCTGCTTGAGCTCAGGAGTTTGAGACCAGCCTGGAAAACATGGCAAAACCCTGTCTCTACAAAAAACAGAAAAATTAGCCAGGCATAGTAAGGCATGCCTGTAGTCCCAGCTACCCAGGGCGCTGAGGTGGGAGGACTGCTGAGCCCGGGAGGTTGAGGCTGCAGTTTCACAGCACTGCACTCCACCTTGAGTGATAGAGTAAGACCCTGTCTCAAAAAAAAAGGCAAAGAAAAAGAAGACAGCTTTTTCCTTAAGTCTGGATCATCCCATTAGACACAAACAAACATTCCTACAGGAGTTAAAACAGTATTATACAATGGAGCATGATTTAGTGCCCAAATAAGACATAACTTAGTATAAGCTAGAAGTTCAGTTCAAGTTTGTTGAACTGAACTGAGAAAATGATACAGGTGTCGTAGCTGACTGACAGCTGGACTGGGGAAGGCTTGTCTGGGTAGGAGAAGGGAACTGCATCCAAACTGTCAGCGGGCATGAGCAACGGCCCACTCTAAATGCTGCTTCTCTGGGGACGGAGGGGCCTGCCCACAGGTACCAGTGAGAAGATCCTAGAATCCGTCACTTAGGCAGGGCTTGCCAGGTGCCAGGCACTGTTCCAACTGCCTCTCATCCTTGAGCCTGCAGAACCCACATCTAAGCTCTTTTATGTAATAGTGATGAGGCAGTCACCAGGGCAGACAGGTATGTTCTCCGACAAGTGTGCACGTACCTGCAATCCATTCCCTCTCCCTCAATCTTAACTCTTCCCCCCACTGAAATGTGATATAGAAACATTTTGTTTTCATTCATGCTCTTAAAAAAGTAGAGACCAGGGCCTGGAAGGGAAGTATTTAAACCAGTAGAAGTTCGGCCATGCCTCTTTTAAGAAGTTGGAAAAGGAGCCGGAGGAGGAAGAACAAAGGAGACACCTGGGTCCTGGACTTGTCTTCATCTCAAGTATGCCAAGGGGTCAATCACTTCACCTCTCACCCCTTGCAAAATGGACACCATTATCTATTTCTGTAGAAATGACTTTAACAGCCCTAGATGAAAGACTTACGTGCAGGACGCCATTATCAGAGGGTAATTGCCCTGGGCACTTTCCTTGAAAAGCACACCTGGATTTGGGATGTTATATTATTGCTATGAATGTGGCATAATTAAAATTAAAGGGCAAAAAGTAATTTTACACTAATAATCACTCCACTAAGTGGATGTCTGTCATGCCAGTTGCAGAAGGAAAATGAATCCACAGTTCTACGATGGCAGAGAAAGTGGCGCATCATCACGCCATGACAGGTGCCTGCCCTGGTCACTCAGATGTTTCAACATGAAGTAAGGCTTATTAAGGAAAGCATCAGGAAGCATCTGTAAGTGGGAGACTTCCAGATAAATATTTACAGGGCAGTCTCACAGCTCTGTTGGGTTGCTGACTGTGGGGTTTGTTTCTGGAGGCCTCCCAGCTGACACACAGAATAAAAATCAAGATCGCTTGCTGGAGGATAATTCCAAGGACAACTGGTCAAGCTCACTTCTGCTAGGAGATGTTCTCCACCAAGAGTGTGGCCTTCCATCTGCTTTATCGTGTAGAGCAGTGATGAGGAGAGAAAAGGGCCTGGAGGTAGTAGTCTTCTTGAAAGGACAGAAAGACAGTCGTCTTTTTGATAGGACTATCAAAAATAAAGACCAGGGTCAGAGTCCAAAGTGAAGAAGAATCAGTTGTGTCCGAGGACTGTCAGGACGAACACGGAAGCCTGAGTGAGAAGGTAAGGGAAGGTGCACCGACAAGATGCCAGGCTCTGGGCCCAGCACTGGACGGAATCTGGAGATGTCCAAAGTGTGTCCCTGCCCTTGGTTAGCATGGAGTTTGCAGTTGAGGCAAATGAAATCATGACACAGAAAAGGGCGTGAGGCCCACCTGACCAAAGCACAGACAATGTGTGCTCTGGGAGCAGCCAGGACCACAGTGATCAAGGAGTGGTGGAGCCTGAGCGAGTTTAGACTGGAGATGACGACGGGATCCTGGGACAAGGGAAGGATGGATGGCTTGCTCAGCGTTGTGGTATGGAAGGCTGAATGCAAAGGTGCCATGAGCACGCTGCTGTGGCCAGCAGAGGAGAAAGGAGGGAAGGGAGGTGCCCCTGCAGCCAGCCTGTGTGGAAGCATACAAGCAAAGCTGGAACTGTGGACCTACTCTTGCCAGCAGTGAGGTGCTACCAAAGGGGGCTGAGGCTATTTCATCAGAATAGAAAACAAAGAAAATTGGAAAACAAACTCTAGGGGTAAAAAGGCTTGAAGTAGGATGGTGGCAACATGAACAGAGAAGAAGGACTTTGGTCATACAAACAAGAAAGGTTATACAGCTGATTCCACAGAATCTGGAGATCCAATGGGGGTACAGAGGAGTCAGAGCTGACTCCGGGATTCAGAAACATAAAGGCCTCCACAAAAACATATGAGCAAAATATATAATAACAGAATCATTCAACAAGGCAGTCTACTTGTTTGGGTGTTATACATTTTCCTATCATAAGCACAATGCTAGCAATCACATGATCCAGAATGCTTGGCCTACATTGGAAGAAATTGTTTTTGGTGTTTCTATGGTGAATAAGTGCATAAGAAGAAACGAGTTTCAGCAAGCAGAGAAGAAGGAAATGTACACACCAGCTTCAACTCAGACCCATAAGCACCAATATCTTACTGTTGTATTTTACAAGGAGGCTGAAAGTCGGGGAACTGGATGTCTGAAGTCAAAAGGACATGGAGAAGCAGCATCTGATGTCAGGATGTCTACTAGTCTGGCTGAGGTTGCTGATCTCTATTGGTTCTACGTGACACAATTACCAATCACATTATTCCATTACAGACAGCAGCTTTGGCGTTTCCTGGGCAGGAAAAGGCCTTTGTTATTCAGGGCTATTGCTTTGGTTTGAATGTATTCCCTCCAAAATTCTGGTGGTGAAACTAATGGCCAGTGTGGTCAGTGTTTTGAGGTAGAGCTTTTAAGAGCTGATTAGGTCATGAGGCCTCCTCCCCATGAATGGGATTAAAGACCTTCTAAAACGGGTTTCACCAAGCATTCAGCTTGTTTGCCTTTCACTATGTAAGGACACAGTGTTCCTTCCCTCCAGAGGATGTAGCAAAAGACATCATCTGGGAAACAGACAGCAGCCTTCACCAGACAACCTGCTGGGACCTGGATCTTGGATTTCATGGCTTGAACTTACCAGCCTCCAGAAGTGTGAGAAAAAAAAATTCTGTTCTTTGTGAATTACCATCTGTGGTATTTTGGGATAGCAGCACCAACAAAGTAAGAGAATTATTTTTTAAAAACTGATGCAAAACGTATTACTGAACCTGAAAGGAGAACTTAGCCTGCCTGTTTAAACTGTATTTTAGAGTAACGAAATGGCTCCAGTTGTATGAATTTTAGCTGATAAATGTGGAATGATGACAGAATTAGAAAAAGCATCATTTTGCAACTCCTGGAGAAATATTTGACTGAGGGGAGAAAATGTCACTTGATGAAACCATGAGATAAAAGGATGATAAAGAATTTTATAGTGAATGGATTAATTTGTTACCATGTGAATCCACTGATCAATCTTAGCATCACTGAAGTAGGATAGCCAGACACTAAGGGCCATCTGATAGAGAAGGAATTATTTTTGACCATCTATAAACTATTCTTACAAAACAAAACAAAACCCCACACATGGAAGCTGAATCTAATCAAGTCTATAAAGTTAAATCCACTTCATAAGAACAAGTGATACAGGAACAAGTAAAGCAGTCAGCTGAATCTGAGGTATGGGAAATTCTACAAGTCTTGACCCAGGGTCTCCAACAAGTCAATCACACCAAAAGAAAAAGATGACAGGGGGAGAAGAATACTGTAGATCAGAAGAATGTGAGAGATAGAACAACCAGAG